TGGTCAGTTTCTATGGGCTGGGTAATTTCATAGGCTAATGAGTAGGTAATTTCATAGGCTAATGAGTAGGTAATTTCATAGGCTAATGAGTGGGAGGATTATTCTAACTCTCTGGGAGAAGGGCCAGGGATTTCCAGGAATTGGGCCACCACCTACTTTTTGACCTTTTATGGTCAGCCTCGAAATTGTCCAGGTGCTGGTGGGTGTGTCATTTATCATGTTAATGTATTATGATGAGCATATATAATTAGGCCCAACGTCCACTAGAAGTCGAATCTTCATCCATCTTGAACCTGGTGGGTTCTAACCAGTTTATGTCATACCCTCAAGGGCTATGTCATACTTTTAGAGTTTGTACCATGCCCCCTTCCCTCCTGTTTCAGATTCAAGGCAATGCCAACAAAAATTTTTAAAATCCCAGGAAGTTATTTTGTAAATATCAACAAACTGATTCTAACATTTATATGGAGAGGCAAAAGACCCAGAATAACCAACCTAATATGGAAGGAGAAAAATAAATTGGAAGACTAACACTATTTGATTTCAAGACTTACTATAAAGCTACAGTAATCAAGGCAGTGTGGCAAAAGAATAGACAAATAGGTCATGGAACAGAATAGAGAGCTCAGAAATGGACTCATGCAAATTTAGTCAACTTGTCTTTGACAAATGAGCAAAGACAATTCAATAGAGCAAGGATAATCTTTTCAACAAATGGGTGCTGGAACAACTGGGCATCCACATACAAAAAAAAAGAAGTAAGGTCTTTACACCATCCACAAAAGTTACTCAAAATGGATCCAGATATAAATTAAAAATGCAAAACTAAAAAATTCCTAGAAGATAGCATAGGAAATTTAGATGACCTTATGTTTGGCTATGACTTTTTATATACAATACCAAAGGCACAATCAGTGAAAGAAAAAAACTGATAAATTGAACGTTATTAAAATTACAGAGTTATGTTACCGAGTCCAAGCTTGCTAAGCTCGCCTCATGACAGGCCAATAAATCGGAGACGAGGTGCTGAGGCAAGGAGGATGACTTTATTCGGAAAGCCGGCAGACTGAGAAGATGGCAGAGTAAAGTTTCAAAATAACCATCTCATCAGAGTTTGGATGCTGTTTTTTTTTTATAGCACAGAGAGGGGGAGGAGATGAGGAAGTAAAGTAAAAAGGCCATACGTTTTGCAAATATCACCTGGAATGGCCAGCCTCGGGGAGGGATATGTTAATTTCTTCTTTCTTGTAGCCATCCACAGGTGGACAAGGTCCGGATGTTTCCCTGAACAAAGGCACTTTGGTTTAACATTCAGGCAGAGGGGCAGGGCTCCCTGAGGCAGGCCATTATGTACAGACAGTATCCTTTTAGTGAACAAAAGCAGTGGAAAGCAAAGGTTAAAGTAAAAGAAACAGATCCAACATGTAGTCAGATTTGGTTCTTCCCTGTTACAGTTATAAATATTTTTACCTTCCTCCTGGACAATAAAACGGACTTGGAATATTAATCACTTTGTCTCATTTCAATTTCTATGACTTTTCTGGTATGCATGTGTAGGGGAGCAGGATTTGCCACCCTAAATTATGTCTCTTTGGCACTTTTTTTTTTTAGCTGGGCCGGGCCATCATGCTAGTTCGATTCTAGTTCGCTCAGGATTCTAGTTCCCTGCCAGGGATCAAACCTGTGGAAGCATGGAGTCTTAGCCACTGGACCGCCAGGGAAGTCCCAGCATATTGTTTTAAGCTGGTTATTTTCTGAGAAACAGACAGGAGAAGGGCTCTGAAGACAAAGTAGGAGTTGCCTTTGTGTAACAAATATTTCCATTTGTAAGGGAAATCTCCATTGTGTCTCCCTGGAAGAGAAGGATGAGCAAATCTCTAGAAACTCTTATCGGGTGGAGATTTAAATGTGCATCACAATCACCCTTGTTTACTTTGCTATTCCTGGTAACCTCCCATAACTGACTCCTCCTACTCTCAACATCCTCTTTGGTCTTTTTTTTTTTTAATGGGATTTTTAAAAATTAATTTATTTTTGGCTGCATTTGGTATTCGTTGCTGTGCACAGGCTTCCTCTAACTGCAGAAAGCGGGGGCTACTCTTCGTTGTGGTGGGCGGACTTCTCATTGCCATGGCTTCTCTTGTTGCGGAGCTCAGGCTTTAGGCACGTGGGCTTCAGTAGTTGTGGCACGTGGGCTCAGTAGTTGTGGCTCGTGGGCTCTAGAGCGCAGGCTCAGTAGTTGTGGCACACAGGCTTAGTTGCTCCGTGGCATGTGGGATCTTCCTAGACCAGGGCTCAAACCCATGTCCCCTGCATTGGCAGGCAGATTCTTAACCACTGCACCACCAGGGAAGCCCTCCTCTTTTGTCTTTAGCTGAAGATGTTATTTAAGGTGAGGGTTTCAGCCATTTTGGTGAGTTACTCAATTTTTCTGGGTCTCTCCCACGTATACATGATACTAAGCCTTGTTTGATTTTCTCCTGTTAATCTGTCTCATGTCAATTTAATTCTTAGATGAGTCAGAAGAACCTAAAAGAGTAGAGATAAATTTCTTCCTCCCTGACACACGGTAATCCCATCATTCTATCTCCACAAGGAAATATTATTCATGTTTCACAGATAATGAATAGCTGTATTAATCAGATACACTCCTCTCTCAGATCCTCATTCCTAGAAATACAGAGCTTTCACCTGGAATCACTTTTCATTGTTCTTAAATACAATCTTTAGAATTGCATTTTCTGCAGATTAATTTTCCTTTTTTTTTGGCTTGAAATAATCTTATTTCATAAAAATGGAAAATTCTTGAAAGATGCTTTGACTCTGTATAGAAATCTAGGTTGGTAGTTGTTGTGGTCTGAACACGGGTTGGAAAAGAATTTCCAGACATAAGGCAGAATGTAAAGAAGACAGAATTTATTAGAGGGAAGGGTCGCTGCCAGAACAGGCCGACTTCCTAATAGTCTGGGAGAGTCGAGCCCAAACATGTGCTATTGATCAGTTTTTATAGCCAGAAAACAAAGGAATTGGTCGAGGCACATATACCTTCCTTCTATAAGGTGGGAGTGGGACAGGGCAGATGCCTTTCCTTATTTGGGACAGGTCCTGCTGCCCAGGTGGGCGTCACCCAGGTGGGCTCAGGAATTTCGTAACCATCACAACATGGTGGGGAGGGCGAGTAAGAGTCCGGTAGGGGGTGTAACGCTGACACTTTTTCAGGCAGGGTCGTCCTTTGTCCTTGGAGCACCAGAGTAGTAATTCCTTCAGTGGTTTGAATAGGTCCTTTCACTGTGTCCCAGAACCACAGCTATGTATTGGGAATGAGAGATGACAGGTAACTTATTTTGTTTATAATCTCCTGGCCTTAGGTTAGGTTGGGAGCGTAAATACTAAGACTGAGATTGAACCAGTGACTAGATGGGCTTTGGGTTGTCATATAAAAGAGAGGCTGAGAGTATTGACTGGGTAGGAGTAGTAAATGGGTTAACAAATTGTTCTTGAAACTGGTTATATTCTCACCAACCCTTTTTTCTCTTTCTGTTCACCAAGCTTCCCTTACATTTAATTTGTACCATGTAAATGAGCTTGGGGTGTCGACTGAAAAAAATGCACCACTTAAAATTGAAGAATTATGTTATATTTGGGGCATTACTATAGCCCGGGAAGGCGGCCTCTCAGAGAGCTCTGAGGAACTGTTCAGAAGAGGTAATGGAGGAGCCAAGATAGAGACAAATTTTTACAGAAAAAAAAAAAAATATATATATATATATATAGTAGTCAAACATCAAAAGATTACTGCTAATCACAAAAAAAAGACATCTTTTTTTAAAAAAAAAAATTTATTTATTTCTTTGGCTGCACCAGGCCTTAGTTGCAGCATGCAGGATCTTTTAGAGGCAGCATGTGGGATCTAGTTCTCTGACCAGGGGTGGAACCCGGGCCCCCTGCATTGGGAGCACAGAGCCTTAGCCACTGGACCACCAGTGAAGTCCCCAGACATCTTAAGTTAATGATTTCAGTGTCTTTCTATGCATGGGAAGATGCAAGTCTGGGCTCACTGAAATTATTCCTTAGCTATGCAGAAACCATGTGCTAGGCCCTGTTACCTACCTTGAGATAGATAGTGTTATTTCTCCCTTTTTTTTTTTGCGGTATGCGGGCCTCTCACTCTTGTGGCCTCTCCCGTTGCGGAGCACAGGCTCCGGACGCGCAGGCTCATCGGCCATGACTCACGGACCCAGGCGCTCCACGGCATGTGGGATCTTCCCAGACTGGGGCACGAACCCGTGTCCCCTGCATCGGCAGGCGGACTCTCAACCACTGCGCCACCAGGGAAGCCCTTATTTCCCCCATTTTATTTACTGAATGTTAATGAGAGTCCCTTTTCCTTAAACTGGAGTCCCCCGGAAGGCTTGTTGACACACAGAAGGCTGGGTCCCACCCCCAGGATGATTTCTAAGTGTCTAGGTTTAGGCTATTGCCTGAGAACTTGCATTTTAAATAAATTCCCAGGTGATGCTGACGTTACGGGTTTGAGATGCACTGAATTAGAGCAACATTTAATGTTAGTACACAAAGAACCCGTAAATTAGATATTAGCTTCATTTTTCCATGTGAATTAGGGTCCTCGGGAGCCTGAGCGGTAAAGGGGCCAGCTACGCCCACACAGGTACCAGGGGGTCTCATATTACAGACCTCTGAGGGCGGGCGGGACTTGGCCCCAGAGGCCTGGGGACAGCCCCTTAAGGAGGTGCAGCTCGCGGTGCAGCTCGGCCAATGTCAAGCAGCAAGGTCCGCTCTCCTGCCCCGCCTGCCTCCCTCCCGCCTCTCCCCCGCCGCCCCCGACCAGCCTGGCCGGATGCAGGACAGAAAACACGGTCTATTAGGCTGTGCCGGTGCGTCACCGGCTGGCGCTGGGCCAATGACAGCCCCGGGGAGTGTCGTTTCTTAGGGCCGAGGAGGTGGGGGCCGGAACTTCCTGCGTTTCAGCGCAGCAAGTCATTTCCCCGGGCCGGTGCGCCCCGAGCCGTGGCCCCGGGGCTGAGCCAGTACTACGCTCTTCCCAGCTGGTTTTCCGAAGCGGGCGGGGAAGGACAGGGAGGCCAGGACCCTCCTCCGCGTCTTTGAACTAGTCGTGAGCCCCTGGGACGCGGTGTCCGCCAGGGTCCCGCCGGGCCGCGCGCTCTCTGCGGCCCCAGCGACGGCATCGGGCTCTGGGTGCCCTTGACCCCGGGGAGACTGAAGTGCCACCTCGCCCCGGGCAAGGCGAGGCGGTGCTAGGCTGAGCCCGCGACACCCGCCTCGGTCGCCCGCCTCTTAGGGCCCCTGCGTCCACGGGCTGCGATGGCGGCGGCGGCGCTGATGGACCCGGCGAAGGTGAGTGGATGGGCTTCAGGCCCTCAGCCGCTCAGTCCCCCACCCTCACGTGCCCGGCGCCGGGGTATCAAAGATGGGCGATGCCCTACGACTTCACTTCTTTTTCATCTTTCTTCTTTTGAGTCCCGGGTCTCCGAGGGTTTGAGAGGGCGAGCAGTCCCTCCCAACCTAGGGTCCTGAATCTAGGCCACGGATTATAGAGAGCAGTTCCCATTTCTAAACTCTAGTGGGATGAGGTGGGAAAGGGTTTCCTAGGCACGGGAACCAGCACGTGCAAATGCCTGATTGACCTGGGAGTGTTCAGAGAGCAGGTGGGCTGAAGTCAGCCCTGGAATGGCGGGGTGGGGAGCTGGGGCTCTCTACTGAGAGTGTTGGGAGCCACAGAAGGTTCAGAGCAGAGGAGGAAGATGACCTGACTTCGGTCTTAGCAGGGCCCTATGGATGCTGAGTGGAAAATTGACTGCGGGCTGAGGGTGAAGGCGGGGAGAGCAAGGAGTAGGCTGTTGCAGTACTGCAGCCCACGTGACTAGGGCAGGTGGCTGGAGGCCGAAGGAGCGACTGGATTCTAGGTGTGTCTTTTAAGCTAGTCTGACCAGATTTTCTGATGTGGAGGCTGACCAAGAAAAGAGGTGACGTGATGGTTTTGGGTTTTAGCAGCTGGAAGGATGGATGAACCATCAACTGAGAAGGGGAAGTTGGCTGTAGGAGGAATTTTCAGTGGAAACAGAAGAAGTTAGGTTTTGGCCACGTTGAACTCTGATGTTCCAGGGACCCCTGCGTGAAGTTGAAGGTTGAGGAGCCAGACACACAGTTATGGTGTTCTGGGGAGACTTAGTTTAGGTTATGAGACACCAAATATACAAAGGGACAATTGAAAGACTATATATAAAATAGAACTCTGACCCACAACCTGCAGCAATCTGTCCAGGTAGCCAACCCTCTTATCTACAATAAACAACCTAGGAAGCCATCCTGCTGAAAGTTAGCCTCGCAGGAAGCCAGATTGCCATCTCTAGTGACAATCCAGAAAGTTAAACAGTAACTTCTGTAACAATTGGCCCCCAAAGACCAGGGCTTAATAGCTGACAACTCTTCTAATTTTTGTTCCTACTTCCAACGTAGGACCAACCAGGGAAAGCCAAATATGCACCCCTAACCAACCACATAGGATGCCCTGCGCCTAGTTAGCCTGCCCACAGCTTCCCCATGCCAACAGGGCATACCTGAAGCCTTCCCTTTTTTTCCACTTCTAAAGCTTTCCCGCTCCTCTGCCTGCCTCTGAGTCTGTGCCAGCGCATAAGCGGTTGGCTCTCTTTCTATAGCAAACTCAGAGTAATTAGCCTTTGCTGTTCTCATTTGGTTGGTCTTTATTTTCACAGTTAGAAACATCAAGGGACTTCCCTGGAAGTCCAGTGGTTAAGACGCCACGCTTCCACTGCAGGGGGGGCCCGGGTTTGATCCCTGGTTGGGGAACTAAGATCCTACAAGCCGTGCGGCGTGGCCAGAAAAAAAAAGGAAAACAAAAAAAGAAACAACCAAGATGTGGCATCTGGTGTGTGGGCAAGGGTGTGTCGGATTTAGGAGGGTGAAACTTCAGGTCATGGTGGCAGTGATGTTAGGGGGAAGGGGGAGGGTGGGGCCTGAGAACTGAGAACGGGGTATCTTGCTGGCTTGTTTGGCATCATAAAGACAGATGAGGGAGAGTTAGTGTTCATGGTGGTGGTTGGGCAGGGGGCTGTGTGTAGGGAAAGGTGGGTCTGGCAGGTGGCCAAATTTTCCTGGGGGCACAGATATGAGAAGGGGGGCTAAGGCTTCATAGTACTGGAGGTCATTTTTCAGTGAGGCCTGGGCTGGTGCTAATTCAGCCATCTTCGTTCTCACCAGGGCTTTGTGGACCCTTGAGGGGGCCTGGGGATTTTCAGTCGGGCTGGGGAATCAATTCAGGGGCAAATGGGGCAAGATGAGAGAGCCGTTAGACCCTGGTGGGTGGGGGGTAGGAGGACCGGAGAGGTTGGCTTTTGAATGAGTGACTGATGAAGGGACAGAAGAAAAGGGCCAAGGGCATCTGATGTAGTCCTGGGTGGCTTGGATTGAAGCCAAGAACGGGGCCGAGTGGGGAGGCCTTCACATCAAGGGTGGATGTTGCCCTTGGCAGTGGGGGCCACAGAAGGTCTGGGGGCAGGATGGGATCATGACTGTATTTGCCAAGAATTCTCCGGACTGCCAGGGAGGGGGCAGCTTCCTCCTCTACCCTTCCTTTGAGTTCTTGTGGCTGGACTAATAATAAAAGTAATATTAACAGGAGAAAAACGAATTTTAATGCACATGAAGGTGTCACAGAAATGGGACCTAAAAAGTGGCCACAGCAGGCAGCTTTTATACTTATTAGACAAGGAAACAATACATTTGTGCGGAACTGACTGGACAAAGAAACTTAGGTTTTGGGTGCCCAATTAATGAAGAAGCTAAGCAAAGTTCGGGTTTCAGGTAGTAAATTAAAGAAGTAACAGGTTTTATTTACGTAGGTTTCTTGGCCCAAATTTCCCATCTTTGGCAATAAGGGTGTTCTTTTTTTTTTTTTTTTAATGTTTATTTATTTATTTATTTGGCTGCGCCGGGTCTTAGTTGCTGCATGCATGCAGGATCTAGTTCCCTGACCAGGGATGGAACCCGGGCCCCCTGCATGGGGAGCGCGGAGTCCTAACCACTGGACCACGAGGGAAGTCCAAATAAGGATGTTTTTTATGTCCAGATGCAGGGAGTGCACTTTTTGCGTGAGAAATTTATTTCCTGTTTTCAGGGAGACAGAAAGGAGGGTCGGAGTGTCCCCTGCGTTGGCTGTTTCTTCAGTAACTTTAATTCAAAATAATCAATATGCCATTGAGAAACATTTAGGGGAGGCCTACCTCGGGTCTGACAGTTCCCTCCTCTGAATCGTCCTCTGTGGAGAGAGAGAATGGGTTAGTGGAGTCCTACAGTTCATTGAACCATTTTCTTAGTTCTGAGAACAGATTAGTTCAGTTCAACAGTTATACCTTATTTTAGGAGGCAGTGATGCAGGGGGGCTTCCAGAGCTAGGCCTATGGTGCAAGCAGTCAAGTATTTAACAGGAGACATTTCTAGGGAATCAAAAGAAAGACAAAGGTTGATGATCAGAGCAGATTATAAACCAGTTTATAGACCAGGATGCAGTCAGTCAAGAAGATTTCTAGATGTCAGGGTTGAAGCAGCTTTTGCAGTTTGAAATGTCTCTGATGTCACCAGGTGTTCAGGAAAACTTTCTGAGTGGCTCATATAGTAAAAGGCACGAGGATAGTTTAAATATGAGCCGTGGTGGCAATTTCTCTGCAGTTTATCAAGTCGTTTAGCTTCAATTTGCAGGGCTTCAGGAAAAGGGCAATTTTAGTTCTCAATGATTCCAACTCAATGATTCCACACTCAGTTTTAGTTCTCAGTGATTCCAGCTCAGAAGGGTGAGAAAAAATTGGAAACATTAAAGAGTTGTAGCCAGATATTGGAGGAAACTAGAATAATTCAGGATCCAGACCAGTTTTCAGGTAAATGACAAAACCTCAATGAAAACTAATAGCACTAGAATCATATATACAAGTGTGCATTATAGTTTCTATTGAAACATAATTTTGTTCTCTAAAATCACTCTCATTTCTACCAAAGATAGCCAAATCAAGACGAATTTGTTTGCAGAGTAAGTCTAGATTCCATGAACTTGGCCTGATTATTTATACAGGTCCAGCAAGAATAGGGCTTAGCCATATAGGCTCTTCTGAATCTGCTTTGCTGGAACTTTTCATAAGGAATTTCCAGATTGAACTCTTAATAGCCTCTCGAGGCCAGGAAGCCACGTCAGACTTATCATCAGACTTGCCTGTAATACCTATAGAATTGGGTGAATTCCTCTCTTGAGATCCCCCAAATATCCTGAGGTTCCTGTGCCTGTCAGAAGTGACCGTCCTTACTCACGTGGTAAGGCGCTGGGAACCCTGTTAGCAAGGTACCAGGATGCTTTTCCAAAGGATTTGATTGGCCCATAAAGTCAATTTTGGGAATTCCCCGGTGGTCCAGTGGTTAGGACTCCTCGCTTTCATTGCCTAGGTCGCGGGTTCAGTCCCTGGTCAGGGAACTAAGATCCCGCAAGCCGCACAGCCAAAAAGAAAAAAAATAATAATAATTTTAAAATAAAGGCAATCTTAGTTCCTTCAAGCTGTCTGGTCATATCTGAGTCTACATGTGCCTCTCTCAAATATGACTTTCCAGTCAAAGCCTTGGCAAGATAACCAGTGTTTCTACTTGTGTCCTATTATGAAGAGAACAGATTCTTATTGAACTTAGGCAAGTAACTGTATTGCTAAGAAAATAGTACTCACAGAGTTTCTGAATTCTGGAGAGATCAGGTAGGGGGAAAAAGATAAATGTTTCATTTTTGCTTACAAAGGTATAATTTACCAAATTGCTGTAAATCTTTTAAAAAAACTTCCTTGTATTTGGAAAACAAAAGGTTAAAAAATCAGTAATATTTTAAACAAAAAGTCACAAAAATTATAATCATATTCATCAGTTCATTCAATCCCATGTAATTAATTCTTGTTCTGCTCTGAGTCCAGTTCTTCCGTTAGTTCTGTCAGCTTTGCCTGATGATTGAGGATGAGGGCAACAGTGATACTTCCATGAAGTTTGTGAGGTTTTTTCTTAAGGCTCATGTGATTTGCCCCGTAAGGTGGATGCCTTGATCACTGGAGATTGTGGAAGGTATACCCAAATGGAAAACACATTTTTAAAAACCGTTTCTTTGCCCTTGTGAGGGCATCAGCTTTGTAGCAAGGGAGGGCTTCAATCCATCCGGAAAACATACATGTAATAATAAAAACATTCTGATAACCCACATGTAGTGGCAGTTGAATGAAGTACAGCTGCAGGTGCTCAAAGAAGTCCAGAGAGAAAATGTCTGAGGCTTCTGGGGACAAAAATTGTTTTTCCCCAGG